GAGACGTGCAAGTAGACCAGGTTAGATCCCCCGACCGGGTTCCACCAACGTCCGGGCAACGTTATTTCGAAGTACGTCGGCCCTTTCCCGACTTCCGTACCGATTAGTTCTAAGTGGAGAGAAAATTTGTTCGCGCGATCGCTTCGAGAGAAAGCCGCTGCCTTTGAACCCGCGATTAGCCAATTAACTGAACGCACGGCCACTGTCGACAAATTGAATTTAGTTTTCTTGGATCACGCGCTGTCTTGATTCGGGGCATCTCGGGCATCTGTGGTCACCGGGTGTTTTTCTTACGGCGATGGTCGGATGAAATATGTACATCTTGCAGCGTACGGGCTTGTATGACCGAGAATGGAACGGACAAATGATGCGTTTCGTCTAGAAAAGTGTATTCGGATTCGTACGTTTGGATTTTAGAACATTTTTAACCCATTACCCGCCGCAATTCAAAAATACAAAAAGAGAGAAATTAAATTGAGGTTATTAGTTTCAACCGGAAGTTTAGAATGATTTAACCCTCTATGGGCCCATGTAACTTTCAAGTCACAAGCTAATATATCCAAATTTTACCAAATAGTTTTAGTCTTTTTTCACAAGATGATGTATACTTCTTAATTATATAATGCTTCTGAAAAAACCGATAACAATATTGATGACGGTTGGCTGCACCATCAACCTGAAATGTCAAAATAAATACCTTGCAAGTTGTCTACAAATAGAAACCAAAGGGACCATCTTGTGCAATTGAGATTATTTGTGCTCTCGTCGGTGTTTACTAAATAAAAAAAAAGCGTATATAATAGCTCTGGGTTCGTATATCAATAACAATTTATTTATTTGCATTTCGATAATCATGTTGTTACTATTTGTATATGATACAGTTTTGTAACTTTCAGGTTACATTGGGATATTGTGGTAGATTCGAGTGTATTTAGGATAATAGTTGTGCTTTCTTTTATTTTCAAATTTACATATCAAATACCCAAAATATGGATGCAAAATCGTATAAAAATAAAAGAGGAATTAGAATTAGACACATCAGCGGTAATAGATCCGAAGATTCTTTATTAGATTCTGAGTCCGATGAAGATCGTCCAGTAGCATTTACCAGACGACGCATAAATATTATTGACAGTGACGATGAATTTAGTACCGAATTATCATCGGATGAG